TCTTTTTGGACAGCAATGGCTTCCTCCGTGGTGTCCCTCCCATGTACTCCATTCTTGTTTAATGTTTTCCTTATTGTAGATGTGTCAACAAAAATGTTAGCATGTGCCAGAGATTTCTGTAGGTCTTTAGCTGACACTCTGGGATTCTCCTTTACCTCAAGCAGCATTCTGCGCTGTGCTCTTGCAGTCATTTTTACTGGACGACCACGCCTAGGGAGAGTAGCAACAGTGCTAAACTTTCTCCATTTGTAGACAGTCTGTCTTGCCGTGGACACATGAACATCAAGGCTTTTGGAGATACTTTTGTAACCCTTTCCAGCTTCATGCAAGTCAACAATTCTTGATCGTAAGTCTTCTGAGAGCTCTTTTCTGCGAGGCATGGTTCACATCAGACAGTACTTCTTGAAACCAGTAACAACACCCAAAACAGGTGTGTGTTTTTTAAGGGCAGGACAGCTGTCAGCAACACATCCAATATCATCACACTGATTGGAGTCAAGGTTGGCTCACTACTGGCTCCAATTAGCTCTGGGAGAAGTCATTAAGCTAGGGCCTCACATACGTTTTCCTCCCTGCACTGTAAATGTTTACATGTTATGTGCAATTAAACCATGGCAACATCTAATGTTTGTGTAGTATTATGTTCAGCAGACTGTGTTCTTCTATTGTTGTGACGCAGATGACGTTCAGAGCACATTTTATGCCCAATTCATGCAAAACTCCACATAATCCCAAGGGGTTCACATACTTTTTCTTGCAACTGTACATTACTCTTCTACTTCATGTGCCCAAAAGTGCACCAGGTCTTTTACAATCCTAGCAAAATCTCTGGAAAACCATGCCCAGTCTGCACTGTGGTGCACCAAGCACACTGCATGTTTGTATCAAGCAATGGTGCCCAACTTATGATCTTGAACACAGGTCCACTGATTTCATAAAACTGCCCCTGAATTAAAGTATTTCTGTGGCACACCCCCTCAAAATTAAACATAGGCTTTATTTGTTACAGTTAAAAAAACTCCATACTCAGTCCTAACACTTGCGTGTTTTTGCCCAGTACTGGCCTTAGCTAACTGGGATCTTCATATACATTGCATTTAAAAACTCTGCAACCAATCTTAGTTCAACAGATCAGGTGTAGGATAATCAACAAATTAATCTAGATCCAAACAACGTCTATGTATAAACCAAAACGAGGCAAAACAAGATAAAAATACAATGTAAAAAAAATGACAGAATGCAAATGCAAAGGAGAGGCATGGTGAACACTATATAAAGTATTTTAAAAACTGACTTCTCTCCCATCGCTGATTAAGTCCCTGTGGTATACGAGTTTCCAATTTATGTGCTGTAAAAACAACTGTATGGGTCTGCAGTAAGAGGCTCTACAGGGCAGAGAAGGATGTAGAAGTGCTATTCCCTGAATGCAAGATCTTTAACGCGGTTGTAAACCTCAGACATCAAATATGAACAAAGCATATCCCTCTATAGTGTGTGCCTATCTCAATCTAGAGTACTAAGTGTTATTTCTGTCCACTGCCTCGTTTCTCTGCTATAAGCACAAGTCACTTCTGGAGAGTTTTCCTGTCATCAAGAGAAAAATGGTGACAGGGAGGGCACAGTCTGATTGACAGTCTCAGCTCTGTTCCTGTGTGAAGGTATGTGTATGTCCCTTCCCTCCAATCAGCTCTCAGAGCTTCCCTCACTTTTGTAACTTCATCTTCCCACCCACTGCTTTTTAGAGCTGAAAGAGTGTATATTCTTCATTTTGAATGGATGTAGGGGACAGACAGCTGTAGATAGGTACAACTTAGGTTGCTTTCACAATGATTTGTATTTCTTCTGCTTTTGAGTTAAAAAATAGTGGAAGAAAAACGCGTGACCACGAATTGCTATGGAATTCTTTACACGTATCCTTTGCGGGTCTGATGAATTTTTTAAAATCTTGCTTGCTGCATTTTGTACGGTTAAAAAAAAAGCGCACCACCCCATTGAAGTCAATGGAAAACATGGCAAAAACACAAATGCACCCACATGGCGTTTTTGAGTCACATGTCCTGTAAAAAAAAAAAAAACTAAAAAAAAAAAAAAATCACAGTAAAAAAAAAAAAACTGTGTGAAAGTAGCCCTATGTAGGGGAACTTGTTTTATCTCTGCGTATTACCTGAGGCTAACCACTTCACTAGGTATATGTGAGGTTTTAAAACCACTTTAAGGAATCTTTGTATTTTCTCTATTGCCTGTTTTTTCCCCTGATGAAGGGGGAGTGCTGAGCCCCCAAAACATGCTGGCTGTTACAAAATAAAAAACTCCTTTCAAAAGGTCTATACAAGGTGGTGTGGTGCTCCCATCCGTTCATATCTTCACTGAATGCAAGCACTGGGAGAGGAAACTGCTCAGTGGTGCTGTTACTGAAAGAAACAGCAGGGAAAGTAGCCAAAAGATTCCGTTAGTGCATTCATGTACGCCCTTCCTAAAAGATGCATCATCAAACTACCGCTAAAAAAGGAGGAAGCGGGAAGTTTAAAAAACAGTGACTGGGCATAAGCAGCTGACAGAGTCTCAGAAAAAGTACACACTGAGATGCGAATAAAATGGAGGGTTCTCCATCGTGGTCAGATTGCAAATTGCATAAAAGTACAAGCAAACCAAGCAGTAAAGAAAAATAGTAACCCCTTTACAAAATGGGCAGACAGCTACAGCTGCTTATAAACAAAATACTACAAGCAGCCTTAGTTGGGAGTATGAAGTAAGGACACAAAGTGAATCTTCAGAGACAGGAAAAGGAACACTTGCTTTGTTCTGGGCTTGACCTGAAAGTGGAGTTCTGTGCAAACTGGACACAGACAGGTAGTTACTGACAACTTAAAGAACGAGATAACATCAGTATACTAAAGGAATTGGTAAATCTGTGCTTCCTGGCTAACTGGAGAAAGATTCCAAGAATTTTGGGCAGCCACCGCGAGAACACCAATATACTAAGTTATTTTGGAAAACCTGTGCTCCTTAGCTGACTGGAGGATTTTACTATTGGATCAAATCTACCTGCACCAATTGATCACTGAAAATCTTCCAAACAAACAGAAAACCAGCAGAGAAACCAACCTTAATGTGGAAGACCTTCAATTTTCCATAGCCTAGTGTCCATTTCTCCTATATTAAGAAGTATAACCTTAGGTTTCTCAATATCAAGCGTTGTCCCTCAACAGATGGAAGAGAAAATAACCTGTTTAGGTTAATATAGGACAACAGACTTTCAATGAAAACAATACGCTTTCTAGATAGTAACTGACTACTTCGCAATTGTCATTTAGCCAGGATTCTGACTGCCCCATCTAATGCGTTCGCTAGACGTTGGACGTTGCTGGAGTGTTCTTCCGCATAGTAGATTTGTAACATGTGATACATGCAAAATAAAACAAACACTCACCCCTCATATACCTGAAATCCAGTAAAAATGTGTTTCTACCCTAACAATAACTATTAGGACCAGTGTTGACAGACTTATTAGCTTCAAACAGGTATTGAGTTCCCATACAAGTCTATAAACAAACAAACTGCAGGTCAGAAACACTTGTTAGTGCATTCTGAATGATGTCAAATTGACGATATTGATATGAGCCAAAACCCCACAAACACAGGCTCTTGCAATAATTTAGCTAATAAAATAATACACAGTACTGTCAACCTCAGAAGAATGCAAAACATCCACACCCAGATTTAAAATGTTACAAATAGTAATATTCAAGCAAGCGCTATTAAAATATGTAAATGAATAAAGCAATATGATAGAGCAGCTTGCAAAAGGAACAAAAACCTCTAAATCCTTAAAAATAACTCTATCAAAATTACAGCGCTTAAAAATACCAATTGGCAATATACAGTGATACGTGAAACAGCGCTATCAAGGAGCGCAATAAAGTGAAACTAGTGCGTCGTCCTATATGGACGAAAACCAGTGACACAAACGCACAGTATAAACGTATGATAGTCCACATTAATTATTCCTTTAGATAAGTGCTTATATCATCCAGTGTGTGCAGGATAATTAGTAGCTCCCTCACAGATAAATATGGTGCTTGTGACTCCTTGTGGATAAGGAAAAAAGAGGTGTGCTTGCACTCACCGGACGCACAACCAAATTATGCATATAATAGTATTTCTGTAAGGTACTAGTGGTCATCTAGTTACCGATGGGGATATGGTACTTCTCAGGTACTCGCTACACCCTTAACTGGACTTCAGACCTCTCCACAGGACCCTCACAGCAAAAAGGATAGCTCCTCGGTGTAAACTCCACAGCAATAAAATAACGTTGGATCTCCACCGTAAAGCAGCTCCAGAAATAAGCCAAGAAAAAAAAGCTAATATAGTGTAGTATTTTTTATTTTTGTTGTTCGAGCCAATAAAAAAGCATATGGTTCAATAGCTGTCAAAAACGTATAACATTATTGTAGCCAATAAAAACAGCATACAGGTCAATAGCTGTCAAAACATAAATCAGGCTTATTCCAGCATGCAAGTGAAAGCCAGCATAAATATAAATGTGTATATATGCTAAAAAAATGGTCAGCCTTTCATGTTAAATAGTATCTGAAAGTACTTTCAAAAATGTGTATTGTAGATCAGATATGGCTGCCAGCCCAGCACATGGACCTGGCAGCGTAGAACGAGCTCGCCGCGTTGACGTCACATGCTGCCAGGTCCTTGATAGCGCGGTTTCACGTATCACTGTATATTGCCAATTGATATTTTTAGCGCTGCAATTTTGATATAGATTTAAAATGTTATTGCTGCACAAAAAAAGAGAAATTTGTAATAAATTGTAAAATGTTACAGAATACAAAAATATGATGTTGAAAAGTCCAAGGTAGGTAATGGGCAAGTGAAGGAGAATGGTTTTCTTCATGTACACTAATATCAATGAATCAACTGAGCCATGACTGAGGTCCATCTTCATGAGATATGGTTTCAGCGTTATCCCCTTGCGTAGATTACATTTATTTTATTTTAAGAGGAGGCAATTTAATTGCAGTTTTCCGTACTTGTTCTGAAATGTCTGTCCCAAGAGGAGCTCTGCAGTGAAAAGAAAACAGTCTTAGTCCTTCTAATTGACACAGTGGCTGTGGGATACACTTAAACAACACAAACTATATCCAGGCAATGGTGGGAAATCTATTTATGAACTGTAGCCAGACAGAGGGACAGAACAGTGATGTCCTGGTTGAGGTGAAAAGTCAAAACTACCTCTGGTAGGGAGGAAGTTCTGCAGTGCAACTCTACATAAAGTGTACATGCAACATATTTATTTATTTCAGGTACTTATATAGCACTGTCAATTTACGCAGTGCTTTACACATATATATTGAACAGTCACATCAGTCCCTAACCCTCAAGGGGTGGTGTACAATCTAAGGTCCCTAACTCACATTCATACATACACATATTAGGGCCAATTTAGACAGGATCCAAATAACCTACCAGCATGTCTTTGGAGTGCGGGAGGAAACCGGAGCACCCGGAGGAAACTCACGCAAGCACAGGGAGAACATGTAAACTCCATGCAGGAGGCGCCATGGTCGGGAATCAAACCAATGACCCATTTACTGCAAGGCAGACGTGCTAACCACTAAGCCACTGTGTTGTGCTGCATATACACAAAACCTGTGCTTCTATAAATACCTCATGAGGATATCAGAAATATTTATAGTCCATGTAACAGTTCATCACCAACGTGTAATAAAGTGCAGCATTCCGTATCCTTTGATAAAAACATGCAAAATGTCCCTCAAATGGAAGTAAACATTGGCTATTCACCTTCCAAAATTGAACACTGAGCTAATCAGTAAGGCCTAACAATGTTTGTCCCGCTCAGGGGTTAATTTTTAGATAAGATGACACGACTCTCCAAACATGCTTGCCTGGAGTAAACTACCATACATAGAAAGCAAGAGCAAACCACTGGTGCTCTCTGTTTTCTGTTTGTAAAATTTTGTACCACTCATAAATGTAAAACACTTACAGTAACAGGCACTAAACCAGTGCCTATGAGAGCACTCAATAACATGCCAGTACACAAGATTCAAGATGAAAGATGGCCACGGGTTGGCATAACGGACATGGCTCCACCCCCCTGTACGAGTTGCATCCTAGGATGCGACTCTCTCAGAAGGACTTTCTCAGCAGGAGAAAAGCCGACAGGTCTACCTGCACTTAAGAGTAATGCTCACCGCCTCCATGGCAACCAGAATGCACAAAAGTCGCACTAAAACATCAAAGACAGAGGAAAGATGGAAGACTCAACAGTGACCCTGGAACTTCAACAAAGAGCTCCAGAAGACACTGGGGACATGGAAAATCTCAAAAATACAATACAAAAAATACATAAAAATGTATTTAAAAAATATATTAATAACCCCGTATATACTCTAATCAAGTCAATCTTGCAGCCACCTTCGGAAAACTGGCCCAAAATAGTAAAAAACAAACAAACATTTTTTTTAAATTTAGCTGTGTGTTTCTTGTTAATACCATAACCTACCACCAAAGAACAACCCAAAATAAATTTCCCAGTTCTTGACGATCGCAGCAATACCATATACGTGTATGTTATTTGTTGTTTGTACCGGTACTACAGCCCAGAAACAATAGTGCCAGTTTTGTTTTTTTCTTACCTAAAACACACTAACACTAACAGACACTGAAAAATAAAAAATCCTGACCTTTGACCCTGACCCAAACACTAATTCTGGCACTGAACTAGATCAAATCTTGATTTGGGTATTTTTTCTTTATTTTTTAATATTCATGTATAATTTTTTTTTTTTTTTTTTTTTACAAACAGTTTTTTTTTTCCTTCTCTGCAAGGAGATAGACACAGAGAGGAAAAAAAACCAAGGGGGGCAGGCTTCACAGCGATTGATCACTGTGATAGCCAATCAGAGGCTATCAGAGCAATGTGTCTGGGGTCCCGATCATTAGAACGGGTCCCGGGGCACCCGGTCACACCCCGGTCTTTGTGCTGAGTGTGCGCTGTGTGGTGCGCTCCCAGCACACAGACAGGTACGCAAATATGCGGCCCCATGGAAAAAAAACCCAGTTCTGTGAGGCTGCATATTTGTGTTATGTCGGCATGAAAGGGTTAATCATAAATGTAATAAAAATTTGTGAAAAATGGATCACATTTAATATCAATGCAAATAGAATCTAATCAAAAAAACAGAGGGGAGGAAATAGAAAAAAAATTATATTGATTATAAAGATGAATTAAGTAAATTAATTAAGAGAGGGGAGATGCAGAAGGATTTAAGTAATGTGCTTCCTTTTTATTTAAAATATTTTGCATGTAGAATACCTATTTTTTTTTATTTCTTACCAAAAATACATAAGAAGAGGGGCCACCTGGTAGGCCAAAAGTGAATGGAATAGACTGAGTACATGCTTAGGATGATTTATAGTCTTCTACAGCCTTTAGTCTTTACTATTTTATAATATTTTTTTTTTTCACTTGTTGGGACTTATTTCTTCACTTCTTGGGACTTTTTTTTTTTTATTTATCAGGTTATATCAATTGATATATGTCACGGTTTTATAATTGGTCACTTTGATTTTAGATTTGCTTTGGAATGTATTTCACCTTTAATTAAGGTAATACGGATACATAAGGTTTATTAATATTCTTTCACTTTAATATTATTTATGATTTGATAATATGGTATTTTAGTATTTACAGTGCTAAACCATTTGTTCAAAATAATTTTTTCAGCTCATTTTTCTATCGGGTGTTAGCAGCTACTTCATCCCTTGTGAGGATATTTGGCAGCGCAGGAGTCCACCCCCATTTAAAGGATTTCTTTCTAATTACTGATAGATTTCAGCAGGTGCTTTGGATTTCCATGCCTTTTTGTATCTCCCTTTATGTGTTCAATACTTTTTCCCCTGTGTCATTCCATTTTATTACACATAACTTAACCACTTGCCCTCCTGAGGATTTACCCCCATTCCTGACCGAGCCTCTTTTTGCTATACAGGACTGCACTACTTCAACTGGTAATTGCGCGGTCATGCAATGCTGTACCCAAACGAAATTTATGTCCTTTTTTTAACACAAATAGAAATTTCTTTTGGTGGTATCTCATCATCTGTGCACATTTTTATTTTTCACGCTATAAACAAAAAAAAGACCAAAAATTTTGAAAAAAAAACCTATTACTTTCGGCTATAAAAAAAATATATAGTAAACTCAAAGTTGGTCATGAATTTAGGCCAAAATGTATTCCGCTACATGTCTCTGGTAAAAAAGAAATCCTATTAAGTGTATATTGATTGCTTTGTGTGAAAGTTATAGTGTCTACAAACTATGGTATAGATACTGCAATTTACACAATTTTTTGCTATACAGCGCTGCACTAGTTTAACTGACAATTGCACTTTCATGCAATACTGTACCTAAATGAAATTTATGTCCTTTTTTTCACAGAAAGAGAACGTTCTTTCAATGGTATTTGATCATATGTGCGCTTTTTATTTTTCACGCTATAAACAAAAAAACCCGAAAAAAAAAAACAAAAAAACAAACAAACAATATTTTCTCATTTCTGTCATAAAAAAAATCCAAAAAACTAATATTGTCATAAATTTTAGGCCAAAAATGTATTCTGCCAAATGTTTTTGGTTAAAAAATCCCAATAAATGTATATTGATTGCTTTGTGTGAAAGTTATAGCATCTACAAACTATGGTATAGATAATGGAATTTACACAGCTTTTACTTTCTGCCTATCACATTTCTTCAGGTGCTAAAATACCAGGACAGTACAAACACCCCCAAATGACCCCTTTTCGGAAAGTAGACACCCTAAGTTATATGCTGAGAGGCATATTGAGTCCATGGAAGATTTATTTTTTTTCCCACAAGTTTTTGGAGAATGCCAAAAACATTTTTTTTTTTTTTACACAAAGTTGTCACTTAAATGATATATTGCTCATACAAGCCATGGAAATACACCCCAAAATACAATCTGCTACTTCTACCGAGTATGTGGATACCACGTGTGAGACTTTTTGGGAGCCTAGTCACATGCAGGAGCCTGAAATCTAATGACCACTTTGAAAGCCTGAAGGTGCGTAACTTCCTCATTTCACTTCCTCACTACCTATCACAGTTTCGGAGGCCCTGAAACACCAGGATAGCACCAAACCCCCCCAAATGACCCCTTTTTGGAAAGTAGGCACCCCAAGGAATTTAAAAAGAGGCATGGTGAGTATTTTGCAGATCTAATTTTTTCTCACACGTTTTTTGAAAAAAAAGAAAAAATGTTTTTGTTTTCTTTCTTCATTTTCCAAAAACTTGTGGCAACAAACGGGATCTGCAAAATACTCACCATGCTTACTAAATTTCTTGGGGTGTCTATTTTCCAAAAAGGGGTCATTTGGGGGGGTTTGGTCCTGGCATTTCAGGGCCTCCAAAACTGTGATAGGTAGTCAGGAAGTGTAATGAGGAAATAAAGCCCTTTAAAAGCCTGAAGGTGTTTATTGGATTTTGGGGTCCTGTACTTGCCTAGACTGCCAAAATGTCTCTCACATGTGGTACCCCCCAATACTCAGGAGAAGAAGCAGAATGTATTTTGAGGAGTAATTCCACATATATGGCATGTGTGAGCAATAAATAATTTAATTGACAATTTTATGTAAAAAAAAAATTTTTTTTTTTGTCATTTCTCAAAAACTTTTGGTAAAAAAATTAATTCTTCTATTGACTCAACATGCCTCTCAGCAAACAGTTTGGGGTGCCTACTTTCCAAAAAGGGGTTATTTTGGGGGTTGGGGCATTTTATGCACAGCATTAGAAGTTTATGCCAAGCATCTAACTACCTGAAGACCAAGCCTTTTCTGACACTTTTTGTTCACATGAAAAATAACCAGTATTTTTTGCTACGAAATTACTTTAACCACCTCCCGCCCGCCATATAGTACATGACGTACATATAGTAATATGACGTCCTCCCATTCTAACCACGCATGCGCGGCTCCAGGAGCGTGCAGCACGGTGAGCGGCAGTGCGCTGTGTCCCTCGGACGCAGCGGATCACCGATCAACGGAAAGAGCCGAAGATGTCGGCTCGGTCATGTGATCAGCTGTGCCCAATCACAGCTGATCGCATGTAAAATAGAGAAATGTCGGTTATCGGCATTCCTCTCCTCACGAGCTGTTACGCTGACAGCTCGAGAGGAGAGTAGAGCCGGTAATCGGCATCCCTCAGAGGGGACATGGGCACTGATCATCAGGGCACTGATGATCAGTGTGCCCTGATGATCTATGTAGCCCCAGCAGTGCCACCTGTCAGTGTCCATCAGTGCCAGCTGTCAGTGCTCATCCATGCCACCTGCCAGTGCCCATCAGTGCCACATCAATGCCACATTTCAGTGCCTACCAGTGCACATCAATGCCACATATCAGTGCCCATCTGAGCTTCCTTTCAGTGTCACCCATCAGTGCCAGTCAGTGCCACCTATCAGTGCTGCCAATCAGTGCCACCTATCAGTGCCAGTCAGTGCCACCTATCAGTGTGCATCAGTGATGCCCATCAGTGCCATATATAAGTGATGCCTTTCAATGCCAATCAGTGATGCCTGTCAATGCCCATCAGTGCCACCTACCAGTGCCTCCTCATCAGTGCCACCTATCAGTGTCCATCAGTGCAGCCTATCAGTGACTATCACTGCAGCCTCATTAGCGCACATCAGTGAAGGAGAAAAATCACTTATTTACAAAATTTTAAAACAAAAACTAAGAAAAAACATTATTTTCCCCAAAATTTTCTGTAGTTTTTGGCTTAAGAAAAAAATAAAAAACCCAGAGGTGATTAAATACCACGAAAATAAAGCTCTGTCACAAAAAAAATAAAAAAAGGATAACAATGTAATATGGGTACAGTGTTGCATGACTGCGCAATTATCATTCAAAATGCAACAGCGCTGAAAGCTGGAAATTGGCCTGGGCAGGAAGGGGGCATAAGTGCCCTGTAGGCTAGTGGTTAAACCCCCAAACATATGTTTTTTAAAGCAGACACCCTATTGAATAAAATGGTGGGTGCTGCAATTTTTTATGGCACAGTACTCACGCAGCAATTTTTCAAACGCAAATGAAAAAAAACAAAAAAAAACACAAAACACTTTTTTTACTTTTAATGAATAGAAACACAATATATTGGCCAGTTATTTTGTAAGATATAAAAGATGATGGTATGCCAAGTAAATAGATACCAAACATGACATGCTTTAAAACTGTGCACGCCCTGTGCAATGGCAACAAACTGCATACATTTTTAATATCCATAGGCAAAGCTTTAAAAGCCTTTACAAGATACCATTTTAGATTTACAGAGGCGGTCTAGTGCTAGAATTACTGCACTTAATGTGATGTTCGTGGCAATACCTCACATGCATGATGCAACCGCTGTTTACATACTGGCAGTACTGGTAAGTAATTTGATTTTTTTTCATTATATTTACACTGTCCCTTACATTTTTTTTATCACTTTTAATGCCATCACAGGGAATACAAATATCACTCAAAGGCCAGTGATATACCAGTATGTCGCTGGTCCCTGTTGGGTGTATATGCTATGTTCTTTTTTTTTTTTATGCAGCCTGTGGGCTGAATGAAATAAAGACAAGAAATCTCTGCCAGAAAAAAGTGTGTGGATTTAAGGATTGGGCCATAGCACCTTCTGGATACAAAGGGCCGTGATGATCTCTTCCTGGAATATTTGGAAGGATCCACATCATCCAGTTGCTTTATAAATTACAAAAGCATTATATATAGCCAATTGAAATAAATAGACACCTTTTTGTACCAGTGTTGAGCTTTCCGGGAAATTACATACGGATTTATCATTTGGTCGTTAGAGTCCACCCCTCCTATGCTAAAGTTATAGTCGTGGACACAGAGGGGTTTCTCAACAACGCCAGATACCGTGTTAATTTGGACTGTTGCATCTGGGTGAATGGAAGACAGGACAAAAAAACACCCCGTTTGTCCTTTCACTTCACTGCGAGCAATTCATCATCCCTCAATCTGGCTCTCCCCCTTTCTAAGTCGGGTATTTACAAGTAGTTGGGGAAGCCCCAGCGATTCAGGTCGCATGGTGCCACATGAGCCAATTCCAAGATTGTACAAATGTCTAAATAGTGGCAAGTCCCAAACTATCTTGCCACTGCTCCCCATGTAGTCTTGGCAGTCAGGGGGGCTCTACTTCGCTGTCTCTTCCCTCAAACCCTAAATTTGTACATATAGCCTGTGGCCCTCTCACAGAGCTTATACAATTTGACCCATATCTGGCACGCTTGCTGGGGATGTACTGTTTGAATGCAAGGCGGCCAGTACAGTGAATGAGGAACTCCAAGCAGATGTTTTGCTGTGGAGTATACAAATCTGCAAATTTCTCAGTGAGGTGGTTTATGAGGGGCTGAATTTTGTACAGCCTGTCATGTTCAGGGTCACCCCGGGGATTACAGAGTGTGTTATCACTGAAATGCATGAAACGCATTATCGGCTCATATCTATGCCTGGTCATGGCAGCAGAGAACACGGGCATATGACCGCAACTCATTCTTTTTTGTAATGCCCATGTTGAGGGTTAGGCACAAAAAAGTTTTAAACTCGGAAACGGTAATGGGTTTTCATGTGAATGGTCTGGCAAGGTTTGAATTTGGGTTTGTGGTGATATATTGTTGAGCGTTAAAATTGCTTTGGCCCACAATCAAATTGTACAAATCTTCTGTCAAAAACAGCTCCATAAAATCAAGGAGTTAAATTTGCGGTTTCCACCTGAATTCTGAGTTGGGCAGTGGATGGGGGGGGGGGGGGGGGGGGGGGGGGAGTACGGGTGCTGCAGAATCTGTAGGCTGCCAATCAAGATCTGCAAGCACGTCCAGAAGGACACTAGGGGTTCTACAGGCCTGTGTGCGAATTCTTGGTGGCTGCAGGACACTAACTGTGCTCGCCACCGCACCAGCTTGTACTGCACTTATGGGACTCGCCCCGTCACCAAGTGATAATGCAGTGCTGGTATAAAAAAAAAGACCAAAAAAGTAGTGCGGCACTAGTACTGGCCCTCTGCTGCATATGAGACAAGTCATGCTATCCTAGCACTTCAGCTCCATTGGGCCAGGTACGCCTGATCTTAACAGGGACCTCTTCTCCATCGTTCGAGCTACCTGTCAGGGTGCCGCTGCGGTCTACAGGTTCGTATTCTGAGGCTGATTGTTTCAGGGAGTCTTCCCCTTTGCTCTCACCTGACATGCTCAGAATCCAGTAGGCCTCTTTACTAGTGTACCTTTCATTGGACATTTTGGACTCTAAATTTACAGGTACCTAGTGCAACTCACGAGAAAAAGAGCACCTGGCTGTCAGGGACTTCTTGAACAGCTACAGAAAAAAAAAAAAAAAAAAAATACCGGCAAGTGCTGACAGAGATCAGGCCTGATTCTGTGATCACTGCGGTTTTGTGTGCAATGTATTACAGGTGACAGTGATCAGAAATTATACTGAGACTGCACTTCTTGTTATGGGTGGGGGGGGAGCATTGGGGCTAAACGCTAGTGCTGGCAGCGAACGGGGATGATCCTGCTAGCACTGCATTTTTTGGGAACACTAATACTAAGGGGGAACTGGTATAGTTTTGTTCGTGATCAATATACTGATCAGTACAAGCACTCTAATAATAATAACGGTGATCAGCGACCTATAGCATGAGTACGATGGTGTGCGGGCAATCTAACGTTGCTGACAGGGATGCTAACTGAACCTGACACTATCTGATGTCACTAGTGGCACCAATACAGTGATCACTGAAAAATACTGTACACTGATACTGAACTAATGGCACTGGCAGGGGGCAATCAAAGGGTTAAATGGGGCAATCAAGGGGTTAAAATGTCTCTATCGTGTGGGTGCAGTGTGCTGCTTTTACTCACGTGTGATGTCTTTCTTCTCTCTCTGAAACAAAATGGTTCCAGAGAGAGAAGAACCAACTAGATCCTGTGTCTGTATTTACAAACAGGCACAGCTCTGCATCTCCATTCGCTGTAGGAGATCGGCAGAGTCCCGGCCAAAATCGCTGGCCGAGACCTGCTGACATACACCTCCTACAACGAATGATAGCGGGGGTCAGCGGGGGAGGGCACGCGCATAAGCGTTCTAAGCCCGGAAGAGTAAAGTGACGTACCGGTACATCGCTTTGCCTGCAGCTACCGCCCATCCCGTAAAAATGGTGACTTGTTTTACCCTCTGTATTATAAGACCATGTGTTAGCTTGTTTGCTGAATAGCAGCAATTTAACCACTTGCACTCCTGAGGATTTACCCCCCTTAATGACCAGGCATTTTTTTGCTGTTTGGCGCTGCACTAATTCAACTGATAATTGCGCGGTCATGCAATGCTGTACCCAAACAAAAATTTACGTCCTTTTTTTCACACAAATAGAGCTTTCTTTTGGTGGTATTTTATCACCTGTGAGCATTTTATTTTTTGCGCTATAAACACAAAAACCACAAAAATTTGGAAAAAAAACAATATTTTCTACTTTCGGCTATAAAAAATATATTGTAAACTCAAAATTAGTCATAAATTTAAGCCAAAATGTATTCTGCTACATGTTTTTGGTAAAAAAAATCCCAATAAGTGTATATTGATTGCTTTGTGCGAAAGTTATATAGTGTCTACAAACTATGGTATAGATCAGGGGTGGGCAAACTTTTTGACTTGAGGGCCGCAGTGGGTTCATATATTGGACCCGGGGGCCGGACTAGCTGCTGGCCGGCCCAGCCACTACCATGCCATCCATAGTAAGTATAGTAATATTCCCCATAGTAAGCACAGTAATTAATCCCCCATATAGTAATTCATCCCCCATAGTAATTCATCCCCCATATAGTAATTCATCCCCATATAGTAATTCATCCCCCCTATAGTAATTCATCCCCCATATAGTAATTCATCCCCCATAGTAATTCATTCCCCCCTATAGTAATTCATTCCCCCCTATAGTAATCCATCCCCCCTATAGTAATTCATTCCCCATATTGTGTCAATTCACTTACCTTTGCTCCGCACGTTCCTCTCGCCGTGTTCCCGCGCCGTTCCGGTCTTCAGGGCGGACTTTGAGAGGAGAGGAGTTCGTCGCGCTGCCCCACCTACATCCTGACAGCCAATGTTTGCCACGCTCCGCGGGCCGGTTTAAAAGGTCCGCCGGGCCGTAGTTTGCCCATTGCTGGTATAGATACTGTAATTTATGCCACTTTTTGCTATACAGCCATTTTGACCACTAAATGTATAGGTACCTAGTGCGACTCACAGCAAAAAAGAGCACCTGGCTGTCAGGGACTGCTTGAACAGCTACAAAAAATTTACCGACAAGTGCTAACAGGGATCAGGCCTGTTTCTGTGAACACTGTGGTTTTGTATGTAATGTATCAAGTAACAGTTATCTACTGGCACTGCACTTGCTGGGGGAGAAGGGGGGGGGTTAAATGTGACCTAGGTATGTTCTAACTTTAAATGTGTAGTGTTTTACTCACTTTTAC